TACAAAATCCGGTAAGAAAATCGCGGTCATTATAATCCCCAGCTACAGTCTCCTTAAGGGCAAAAAGTTGAAATACCTAAAGTCACGTGTTCGGTCAACTGTGTGAGTAACAGTTGGAGAAAACTAACAATGTTTGTGCCAACATAAGAAGAATAATTGACTGCTTTCTTTTATGTATTTGCTTCCATAGTCGTCGACAAGCATGTAATATTTTCAATGCAGTAGTATTATTTTGGAGTTTTCTCTCCTATATGGGTTGCTTTCCGCAGCTCTCTCTCTCTCTTTCTCTCTCTCTCTCTCTCTCTCTCTCTTTCTCTTACACACACTCTCTCTCTCTCTGTCTCTCTCTCTCTCTCTTTTATACGGTCATTACTTGCTCAAGCTTCTGCTCATTAGCTGTACATATTGGAATAAGAGAGGTCGGTGTGATCGAGTCGATAAAGCTCTTGGTTTCTAAACCGAAAAGTCCCGAGTTCGAACCCTCGGGCAGATGAGGGTCGTTAGCTGGGGACAGCCACTCTTCTAGGAGAGACAATTCCAAAATCAAACAACTGCTGCCTTGTGGTTTGTTCTTGGTTGGACAAAGGCTATGGAAGCAAATCCAAAACGAAAAGCAGGCTGAAATCGGAGTCAATGGCCTCACGTTGACACGTATACTTAATTTGTGTTGGAGGTGGATTAATTCCAACACTAAAATTAAGAACAAAGAAGAAGAAGAAAGATTGTAACAGGGTTAACAATCGAACATTTCTCTCACCCATATTACCAGTCTGTAGACACGTTGGTTCCTGCCTAGCTTCTGCTTCCATCCCACCACCTGGTAAGGACATGAGGACAAGTTTGATCATGTGATAACCCACAGCCTCAAGCCTAGGATCTGAACTTTTGGGTTAGGGAGCGTGCGGTCTACCACTAGACCACGCTGCCTCCAATCTGTTCCCAGCTAACGAACCTCATCTACCCGAGTTCCGAACTCGCGACTTTTGGAGTTAGCAATCATGCGTATGCCTGCCCAACCACGCCATCCCACTTTGCAAAAAATATTATTTAAATCCTTATTATAGATTGAAAATTAGCGATTGTTCAGACTACATACAATAGATCCTGGGGCTAAGCATTATAGAAAATAGTGATATTTCAGACATTCTATTAGTATTTGTTTGAAACATTCTGACATCGCTGAGTTTAAACAAGGCTAAAGTAAGTTCGAATCCAGGTTCAAGTGTGTAGACAGTCCCTGAGTCCACTCAGCTCTGATGGGTACCCAACTTACGTTAGGGGAAGCAAAGGCGGCTGGGCATAGTGATGACCACACTATCTCTTCATATGTCGAGGTCGCAGAAACAAGTGAACTCTACTTCATTTGCCCTATAGACCGTCAGGTTTGAAAGGGAAATTTGCTTTAAAGTAAGTAAAAGTAAGATACCCTCAGTACCACCTTACTCTAGAAGTTACAGAGTAATATGTACGTCGCAATTTTTCTAATCACTTATACAAACCTTAATATGGACGTATGTTACCCTCACTCTTTCTTGCCGGTCTATATTTAGATCGATATATCACAATGACACGAAGGCTCCGTGCCTCGATAAACAATCCTGTAACAAACACCTGTCACTAATTGCTAATTGCCTGCTAATCCCCTGCTAGGTATTATGTAACACGTGTTTTTGTAATCACCTTTATAAAAAAGCAACACCTGAAAATTTCGAATTGCTGTTAATTAACTCATTGTGAGCGATTGCCTACTCTCAAAGCCTGGAGATCAAACATATTGATTGACATTTGGCTGAAATTAGATGGATCATTTCAATCGTTTGCTAATTGGAGTTCAAACGGTAATGTGTTTTGTATTTGAACTTCAATGATCAAGGGGGATTGGTTGTAATACAGCTTGATACAGTTAGCAAATTATAGACGTAGTTAGATTGTATGTATTGCTAGACGTAAACCTTATCTAAGTTAGCAAATTATATACGTAGTTGTATCTATTGCTATGCGCAGAAGTTAGCAATTTATGTAAGTGGTATATCGTTTGTATTGCTACGTAGTGTACACTACCAGATGGACGCTATAGGCTTTAGTATCCGCAAATACCAGGTTCTTATAATACCCTCTGTCAAGATATAACTTTTGTTATAGATTGTAACTTCGTTGCTGGGTGGGGAGTATAGTGCGGTTGCTCGATGTGTAGTTTGGTGTGTGGGTGTGGGGTGGAAGTTGTTTGGTGTGGGGTGAGTGATTGGGTGTGTGTGGGGGGGGGTTGTTTGGTGTGGGGTGAGTGATTGGGTGTGTGTGTGGGGGGGGTTATTTGGTGTGGGGTGAGTGATTGGGTGTGTGTGTGGGGGGTTGTTTGGTGTGGGATGAGTGATTGGGTGTGTGTGTGTGGGGGGGGGTTGTTTGGTGTGGGATGAGTGATTGGGTGTGTGTGTGTGGGGTTGTTTGGTGTGGAGTGAGTGATTGGGTGTGTGTGTGGGGGGTTGTTTGGTGTTGGGTGAGTGATTGGGTGTGTGTGTGGGGGTTTGTTGTGGGATGAGTGATTGGGTGTGTGGGGGGTTGTTTGGTGTGGGGTGGTGAGTGATTGGATGTAGATTGTAGAGTTAGTGCTGCCATGACAAGAAATGATTACAAAATCCCTTCACAAGTCCACGTCACAAAAACGAGTCTCCTCCCCACCCCCCACTCTACAGCTTGTAAGGTCTGAAATGTTTAACGTCCGTTTAGATCCAACACCACTTTTTGCAACTGTTGATATGAGTCTAGTGTGTTATTTAATTCTGCATTACGTGCATAAACCTCGTAGTTGAAAACTATGCGAATGCTGAATACAATTTACTCATTCGTGGTGTACATTAGGTAAAAATAGAAAGCATTAGGATCTCAAAATTATTGTCTTTCTCGTATCCACGTAGAGTACACGGTGTAAATATGTTTTGGTCTTGTAGGCAGTGATAAAATATTGACAATACGGCTTCTTAAGTCTTGCGAGACAACTTATGTGCCAACAGTGAAGTATAATGTTTTACATCTTATGTTGGCTGATCATGCTAAATTTGGATTGGCCGTCTCTAATCAAAGCTGTTGTAGAACATTGCTTGTACAATTTGACAACACAATAACACCTAACACTATGCTTCGCCGTAGAGTAGGAGAAAAAAGCCTCCCCTTCCCCCCCCCCCCCTGAGGAAAGTATACCCCCCTCCGAACTAAATGGAATTGATATAGAAAATATTTACTTTTATCATTGTCCGGAAAATTTAGTCCGCCCCACTTCTTGAAAATATCAAGGTCCCCCCCCCCCCCCACCCCGGAGAAAAACTCTGGAAGAAACACTGAAGATTTTTTTTAAGATTCATACCAAAATATATAATCTGGGTCCATCCCCAAATGTTTGCTTCATGTGCCTCCCCCCACCCCTTCAGGAAATTTTAAGAACCCCTCTCTCACTCCCCTACTGTTTCAACAAACACGTGTCACAAGTTGAATTCCGATTGAAACACACGGAGACCAACACCTTTGTGCGTGTTGTATGACTCATAAGGTAGCAGACGTTGCGAGATGCAAAAACATTGAATAGATGTATGGAGGTTTACATTGTTTTCATGCTCATGGGGACGGCATGGTCTAGCGGTAGAGCGGTAGACTGCTAACCCGTAAGTCTAGAGTTTGAATCCGGGTATGTTAGTCACCCAGCTCTGATGTGTACCGAACTCTCGGTAGGGTAAGTCAACGCGGCTGGGCATAGTGCTGATCATATTATCACTTCATATGTCAATAGCCTATGAACTCTTCTTCATCTGCCCAATGGATCGCTAGGTCTAACGAGGTTTGTTTACATTTACTTTTAGAGACATAGTCAGGGAACTCTAGAATAATTTTATTTTTCTATTTGTCGAAGCCATAAACTTAATTGAATACAGCATGAAGTCAGAGTGATATAGAATTTGACTCAAGTTCTAGCCGATTGAAAGTGAGTAGATACAGCACGAAGTCAGTGTGCTATAGAATTTGACTCAAGTTCTAGCCGATTGGAAGTGAGTAGATACAGCACGAAGTCAGTGTGCTATAGAATTTGACTCAAGTTCTAGCCGATTAAGAGTGAGTAGAGTGCAGTCATTGTGCCATCCCCCTCAGATGTGTGTGGATGAAAGAGAAAACCTGGTTCTGGAATAAAATATTATGAAGGCTAGAAGACATAATGTATCACTTTAGACAGGTTCATTAAATAATGCTGAGCGATCGTATAAAGACGGACGTTTTTCCGAGTGCCTTATTTAGAGCGTATTTTGTAATGGTCGCTCGTGGCATCTCTTACATTTTAGCCACAAATGTTTTTTATTACAGGAAGAAATTTTTTTTAAAATTGCATTTAAAGGTTTGTTATTTACCGACATTGAGTGTTTTGTGTCTTATGCGTGTATTTATTGTGAGTACACCCAACTTTGATGGGCGCCGAATTCACGTTAGGGAAAGTAAAGGCGGCTGAGCATAGTTCTGAATACACTATCTCTTCATATGCCGAGGTCACAGAAACAAGTGAACTCTACTTAACTTGCCCCGTAGACCGTCAGGTTTGAAAGGGAAATTCACTTTTACTGGGGATGGGGGTTAACCCTGTAAACACCGCTCTCACTAAACCAAATGTTTAAATGCATAACATAAATCTAAATGTATGTGTTCAGCACATGTGAGTGTTTTGTAAAGCACGTACACATTGAAGATTTTTGTTTTTTTACATTGAAACACATGTGCTTATGGAAACATGCACATTCCCCTGTATAAAATCTCTAGACTTGCAGGCTGACGTCAAAGAGGTGTGAAGAACAATCACCTCCAGGAACTAGACTATCTCAAAATTCCAATGTAGCAGGTACGGTCAAGCTGACCGATAACTCTATTTCCAGGAAACAGGCCACATGACCTAACCTTGCTGGCCACGAATAATTACAGGCCTCATTTGATTTGTTTTTTTAACACATTTTAATCTATATTTTGTTTTAAAACACAGAGAAAAGGCTTTTTTTTTTCTTCTAGAATAAAAGCTTTATTTAAAAAAATCCTTTGTTGTAATCTAAATAATGTGTAAATATGAATCGTGAAACTATTTTTTTAGAAAATTAAAGCTTATGCAATGCCGGGAGGCACAGTTCCGTCGGGTGGTGTCTGAAAAAATTATTTTAAAATTTAATTAATTAATTAATGAAAAATGTATGATATATTTTTTTAGTTATAATGTATTTCATTACATATTGCATGTAATTATCGTACGTATATAGATACGTGATTTATTACAGATGAACGTGTAACTATTTTTAATACATTGTGTTTTATACAAAAGACGAATCAATGATATACGTCGCCGCAAAACGTGTCAGTAATGTAGCTTAGGGGGAGGGGTCGCGTTCCTATATATAACACGACAGGGGTGGATTGGTTGTTTATTAGTTTGTAATAATTCTGTAGTGATTAGTAGTGGACAAGAAGTAGCGACCTTGAGAAACGTTACGTAATATTAGTGATAATAGTCACTAAACATGTGATTCAACATTATACGGGGTAGGAGGGTAAAAATTGATTGTAGTACAATATATGCAGTTATTAAAATTGTGTTTTATAATTATTTGTTTTCATCCCGTAGTTTCTATGAAAACAAATGTATTATACTTTGCTAGTGGTCGTTATAATTGTGTATCCTGATAGCCAAAAAATAAAAAAATAAAAACTAACTAAACTATCCTTTCGAGCCTCACGGTCCATAGACAGGTGAAGTAGATTTCACCTCTTTTAGTAACCTCTGGATACGAAGATATACTGTGGCCAGCACTAAGCTCAACCGCCTTTTCGTTCTCCAACGTGAGTCAGCTTTCCATCACAGCTAGGTGGACTCGATGACGTCATACAGCCTCGAGCTAGGGATCCGAACTCGAGACTTTCGAGCTCTCTACCATTTGGCCACACCGTGCCACATTTCTAAATTAACTTACAAAGTGAAAGTTGATTAAAAAAAATTAATTAAAATCATACCGTCATGTTCTCAAATGGATCCTCGTAGTCACACACGGGGCAGCATTTGCCGAAGGGAATGACCGGCTCTACCCCGTCCTCACACTCCGGGGTGGGGCAGATGTTGACACACCCCGCCTCACCCTCCTCGTTAAGCGCACACCTCAGACATCCCTTGACGCAGTCCTCGCCCAGCTGAATAAAATGTAAATGTACGATATCATTAATGAGGTTATTGGTTTTACTTTCGGTGGGGGCGGGGTGGTCAAGCAAGCGTTTAATTCAAGTGTAGTTCCGTTTTTAACATAACGTTCTATTGGGTAAATGAAGTAGAGTTCACCTGTTTCTGTGACCTCGGCATATGAAGTGATAATGTGGTCAGTAGTATGCCCAACAGCTTTTACTGTCCCTAACGTGAGATAGGTACTAACAGAGGCGTAGCGACCCTTCCCGGCGCCCGGGGACAAAGTTTCGATTTGGCGCCCCCCTCGGGAACAACCTTTTAATTTTCAATTTGCACCCCCCTCAAACTTTCTATTTGCACCCCCTCCCCCTCAAACTTGCAATTTGTTTTTCCAACCCATTTTGGCGCCCCCTAAGGTCGGCGCCCGGGGACATATGTACCCCCCTCCCCGCTCCCCTCCCCCATCGCTACGCCTCTGGGTACAAATCATAGCTGTATTGACTCACCAAACTTCTACGGACATTAACCAAGATAGGACCACGCCGGCTTAAAACTTTATACTTGCTAACCTCAAAACTTCAGAGTCCGGACCCCTGGGAAGTTGAGGACAGCAACCCATCAAAAACTGATGCCTTATACCTTATTCATAGGTGGGCAAAATCTAAATGACCAAATGACAAATTTTGCACTAAGGCATTTTGGCATCAATGATATTTCAAAATGCGCTGAAAAAACTGTATATCTATTATTAAAATTTCAGGCTAGCCATAGAATTTTTAGCATCTCATTTGCCGTGACAGCATCATTTGGTATTCAGAATGGCCTAACCCGCCTAATTAAATATTATTCCACGTTTATGCATAGCTTTTCTTCTGATTCGTTTCTAATTCTAATTTTGGACGGTATTTCCTCCAACACAAGTATAACGTTTCTACCTGTTTTGCGCCATATAGGCTGTTAACTCCGATGTTAGCCTGCTTGCAATTATATTTCCAACCATAGCCGTTTTTACTTTCTCGTATACGAAGTATAGAGAAAGCTTAGTATTGTAATTGTGCAAAAAAAATCGAGATTTTCATAAATTTCGATGTTTTACACCTCCCTGAGTCGGAAAAATATAGATCTGCAATTTTGTCCATATGCCTGTGTGCGTATGTGTGTGCATGGGTGTTTGTGTTTGTATGTGTGTGTCTGAACACGATAACTTGAGCACCGTTACAACTAGGTTGATTAAATTTCATATTTAATTATTATATCCAATGCGTAGTTCTTTATCAACTTTTCAGCGATTTCCGGTAAACGGAATTGGAACTTATTCTACTTTCAATTTTTCAAAAGTCTATAACTTGAGTATTATTTTAGATAGATAAATTGTTGATTACTCAAAAAAAAACGCTTTTGAATTTATAAAGTACTAATAATATTCCGCACTATCATACACATATTGTTTGGCGTTCACTAGGTGCGCAATTCTTTTTTTTTTACCAGATTTTATTCCATTTTAAAAGGTTTAAGTAATTAAAAATGGATACAAAATCTTGTCTATATCCTGGGTTGCATTCCCCGTGGTGTTATATATGAATATTCGAGAAAGTTTAGGGGATATCACTCCCGCTTTATTTATCTAAGAACAACAACGTGGTATGGGTTTCATGAATTTGGAGTGATCTATTCTAGATTTATTGCTGTCCTCAGCTATCGAGCCTCATCTGCCCGGGGTTAAACCTCGGGACTTTTCGGTTTAGCATCTATCGACTCGACCACGCCGACCCTTATGCTTAGGTCTAACTTGTTACTTTGTCTTAAAATTTATTTTGTTGTAATTGAATTGATTTATCCTGACAGACGGCATCTTAGTGTCCACGTAATATAAAATACAATAAATATGGTTCATGTTTTAGGTTTTGTTTATGTTTATGGTTTAGAGTGTGTTGAGAGTTATGGTTTTATGTTTATGTATATTTAAGTTTGCACGGCTGGTTGTTTTTTTTTTAGAAATGTATGGAAAATGGCGAAAGGAGACAAAACACCTAAATGGAATGTAGAACCACAAGTATTGATTGATGAATTTTTTATTTATTTCAAACGCTTTGTCTCGAGATAAACATAATGATGCAATGTACCAACCACAGACGTAGTGTTATCTCACTCACCTGAATGACTTGATCTTCAAAGGCACAGACAGAGCACTCTGGATCACCTGACACCAGGACGACAAACCCCGCCAACAGACAGACACAGACAATGATGCTGATCCTCATGATGAAACAGTGGCTTGTGACACTCCCAAAGCCTAACCGATCCACCACTATTTATATCAACCTGTTTTTAGTCTTTCACATTGACATGCGTATGTTAATTAAGCATCTGTTTGTGACAGGGTGATATCGATTACCCCCCACCCTTCTACCGATATATCTAAATTATACCCCCGCCCATCAGTTCAATAACAAGTCATTCTGTAAAAGAACATATAATAGATATAATATATAATATTATTTTCAATCGTGTTTCTCAAATATCATTATCTGAATGCTAATAGAACAAAGATGGATGTTCTAAATATTTAATACATTAGAAAGTAAACATCTGTTTAGCATTTATAAATCTATCTAATGAAATATCAAATATTTGAGTATTATTTAAAACAACTTTTAAAAAAAATATATATTTAAAAATGTCTTACCTATACAGTTTTAAAAAAAAAAATTACGCCGAATTTAATTTGTTCATAATTTCTAAAAGGTGTTGCAAGCACACATAAGTCAACACCACGTTGGAGATCATTCAGCCGTTGATAAAATCGATATCTAACCAGATGTGGCCAGGCCGTATAGATATTTGATGTTTCAGTGTACTGTAACGTACACTAACACTCTCAACATACACAACGATAAAGAAGTGTAACATTTATGTGGGTGTGTACTCGATATTTGAAGATAGATAATAGTGATGTGGCTACCTCGGTCGAATTCAATCGCCGGTTCCATGGAGTTGTAGGATATGACAAGCTCCTTATTACATAATCTTGTGGTACATGGTACTGTGAGATTTGACAAGTTCCATACTACTTGTTAATGAGGGATATGACAAGTTCCTTACTATATGGTAACGTGGGATATGACAAGTTCCTTACTATATGGTAACGTGGGATATGACAAGTTCCTCACTATATGGTAACGTGGGATATGACAAGTTCCTTACTATATGGTAACGTGGGATATGACAAGTTCCTTACTATATGGTAATGTGGGATATGACAAGTTTCCTTTTACATGGTAATGTGGGATATGACAAGTTTCCTACTAAATGGACATGTGGGATATGACAAGTTCCTACTACATGGTAATGTGGAATATGACAAGTTCCCTACTACATAATCTTGTGGTATATGACAAGTTCCTTACTATATGCTAATGTGGGATATGACAAGTTCCCTAATAAATGGTAACGTGGGATATGACAAGTTTCCTTTTATATGGTAATGTGGAATATGACAAGTTCTCTACTACATGGTTTTGTGGCATATGACAAGTTCCTAACTATGTATTCTTGTAATGTATGACTACTTCCCTGTACCGTTGTTTTATTGGATACTAAAGACGATCCATGTCCCTTGTTCTCTAGCATACGACATGTTCCCTGCTCTTTTTCTTGTAAGAAACAAGTTCCTTACTCGCTGGTCTTGTAGACAATGCCAATGTCCATAGTCTTGTGTTTGTAAGTCAAGCATCCTTTACAAAACGTTCGTGTTAGCAGTCGTACGCTCTACCATCTCACCACTCCATCCCTTTGTGTCGTATAACAACTTCCTTATTCTCTTGACTTAATGGATAATCCTTCAAGTGTCGTACGACGATGCTGATGAGCTAGTCAAGGACAATGAGATTATCTCAAGCGTCAGAAGGTCAAGCTGACCTAGAGTTCTAGTTCCAGGCCACTTATGTCAAGCCCCGGGGCTGGTCACATGATCTGAGTGGGTCACATGACCAAAGTGGGTCAGGTCACATGATCTATCAATAACATGACAAAGTGCAGGCTATATATTTTACAGAACATGGTGGTTTCTATTTTGAACTTTTACATTTGGTAAAAAAAAATACAGAGAAACAATTTCAATTATAATGATGTTTATTTTATTTTTTAGACAGTAATTAGTATTTTTTATTTTGTTTCCATTACAAGGGAACATATTAATAGAATTATGGGCAAAACAGTTTTTAATTCTATGCAGATTTCAGGAATGAAATATCTTTTTAAACTCAATCGGCAAATTTGCATTAGGCGGTACCTGAAACAGTATGACAAAAGACATGACATTGAATGTACATACATGATTCTATGTAATGTGTTTTCTAGCATTTTGATTACACATAGAATTATGCACAGTATTACAACACTGTACTTGTTATTAAAGAATATAGGATTACATGCGATAATTTATATGTAGCTTATATTTCGGTATTTGTTACATAAAAAAGAAAAATGATTTTTTTTTGCGTAGGAACTATTTACTGACGTCATTCACGTCTAAAAAAAATCACAAATGACGTCACATTGATCACTATTTTATTTACAACAACCTGAACCTTTATTTATTTACAATTGATTAAACTAGAAAACATGTTATAACACTTATAGATTTTAATCCGCTGTTTTTTTTAATAACAGAGCCACCGATAAAAAACCATACCGTTGATCCTATTGGGAAAAAAAAATAGCGTCATATGACTTATATAACAATCAAACTCATACCGTTGATCCTCTTCGAAAATAGTGAAGTCAGACAACATAGACGACAATAAAAACCGTACCTTTGATCCACTTGGGAAATAGTGGCGTCAGACAGGGGATGGGATTGGCCAGAGTACGAAGTGACTCGGCGTCATGACACTCCTGAGGGGGGCAGATGTTGACGCAGTAGGCGTTCACGTGGTTCACGGCGATACACCGCAGGCAGCCGGGTACACAGTCATCGCCCTCCTGATTGGAACGTCAGATTTTTAAAAAATTATTTACTGAATATAATGGAAAAAAGTATACAATCGCAAAAAAAAACCCCACAGTCCTTACCCTCCTGATTCAAACGTCAGATTAAAAAAAAATATTTATTTACTGAATATAAGGGAAATAGTGTACAATCATGTAACAACACTTGGCCAATTCTGATTGCCCACCTCAACAAAAAGCCTTATTGCCATAGCAATTACACTTTAAATGTCGCTCGTATCATAGCCAACTCACCAAAATGTCAGTATTACCATAGCCAGCTCACCGAAATGTCCATTTGATAGCCAACTCATCAAAATGTCGGTATTACCATAACCAACTCATCAAAACGTCGCTCTTATCATAACCAACTCACCAAGATTTCCCTCTTACCATAGCCAACTCACCAAACTCTCCCTGTTACCTAAGCCAACTCACCAAAATCTCCCTGTTACCAAAGACAACTCACCAAAATCTCCCTGTTACCTAAGCCAACTCACCAAAATCTCCCTGTTACCTAAGCCAACTCATCAAAATCTCCCTGTTACCTAAGCCAACTCACCAAAATCTCCCTGTTACCAAAGACAACTCACCAAAATCTCCCTGTTACCTAAGCCAACTCACCAAAATCTCCCTGTTACCTAAGCCAACTCACCAAAATCTCCCTGTTACCTAAGCCAACTCACCAAAATCTCCCTGTTACCTAAGCCAACTCACCAAAATCTCCCTGTTACCTAATCCAACTCACCAAAATCTCCCTATTACCTAATCCAACTCACCAAAATCTCATTTGTTACCTAAGCCAACTCACCAAAATCTCCCTGTTACCTAAGCCAACTCACCAAAATCTCCCTGTTACCATAACAAACTCACCAAAATCTCCCTGTTACCAAAGCCAACTCACCAAAATCTCCCTGTTACCATAACAAACTCACCAAAATCTCCCTGTTACCAAAGCCAACTCACCAAAATCTCCCTGTTACCTAAGCCAACTCACCAAAATCTCCCTGTTACCAAAGCCAACTCACCAAAATCTCCCTGTTACCTAAGCCATCTCACCAAAATCTCCCTGTTACCTAAGCCAACTCACCAAGATCTCCCTGTTACCTAACCCAACTCACCAAAATCTCCCTGTTACCTAAGCCAACTCACCAAAATTTCCCTGTTACCATAACCAACTCACCAAAATCTCCCTGATATCATACCCAACTCACCAAGATCTCCCGCCCTTTATAAACACAAATTTGGCCGTCATGATCAGCGAGAATCTGGACGACGCCCACTGCCAACAACCAGACACAGATCCTCAACTTGATCAGCATGGCGTTGAAATCTTGTAGAAAATAAATCCTCGTCTAATATCCCACACCCCAGGGTTACATTCAACCCAACCACTTGGTATTTATACACCTTAAACTACGTGAGTTTTCACCAGCCGTGGAACATGTTATGAATGTATTACAATTAGCCATTGTGTCGTTTGTATCTTATGTTATGTTTTTGTAATTTAACAATGAGAACCCTCATGAGAATATTTAAAAATTTCTTATCTATTCCGCTTGATGAGTAGGTGGATGTATAGTTAGAATAATTTAAATTTCAATTAATGTAATTCGTATGATTAAAAATGTGACTAAAAGGAAAAAATATATAATAGAGAAAACCTCGCATAGCTAAACTTGTTGTCACAATGTGGGTGTATCAATTTTCTCCACATGGAGTTCCTCGTGCTTGCTGCTGTAGTAGTATTAAGGAATATTGTTTTCGTTCAAGACGCTTGCGACACATAAAATAGAGTTCGTCTGTTTCAACTACCTCTGCATACGAAGTGATAGTATGGTCAGCACTATGCCCAGCTACCTTTTGTTTCCTTAATATGTGTCAGATACACATAAGAGCTGGGTGGACTCGAGCCCGATATATATATATATATATATATATATATATATATATATATATATATATATATATATATATATATATATATATATATATATATATATAAAATTTATATGTATAATTAGGTGCACGTAAAATATACCTGAAAGACATCTGCCCGAATGCAACTTGCCTGAAGGCCATTTTTCTCAATGAACGTTAGCCCACATGCGACGTTGGTGCAGGAATTTCTGATTGATGTTTTCAAAATTGGATTCCATTCACATCAAAAAAATAAACACCTGTAACCGTCTTCTCCAAATAGGCCTAGTTGTAGCCTAACTTAAAACTGTCTTTTTGAGGTTCCCGGGGAGGTGTAGGGGTATCATCTAACTTACCGGATACCTTTCTTCCTAAGCTACTGCGCAAAACAAGCTCCCTGCTACATAATCTTGTGGTACCTGGTAATGTGGGATATGACAAGTTCCCTACTACATTGTAATGTGGGATATGATAAGGTCCCTAATCCTCCTAATATATAATAGCCCATGTGCGC